TCTGACTATTGAAAATGAGTCGAGGGTGTGACTTTCAGTGATATATGTTCACCCATGAGACTCTGAGACCCTCTGATGAATGGGACACAAATATTGCCACGCAATATTGCCAAAGACACAAGGGGAAAAAGTGGTTCAGATGTGAGGGCAGTTAGCATCAGAAACAATACCATCAGCACAGTCTTCCTCAAAACTCAAATGTGTGGGTGTATGAATTTGTAGCATGCAACCTGCACAGCCAAGCCACCACTCTACCTTCCTTCTCTACCCCCACATGTGGGGTTTCAGAATGGTTTACCACCCTTTGTTTTCTCCTAGAATTAAATATAGATGTCCTTCGTGGCTGATCTGATGGGTGAGGAGTGGGTACTAGCAGCTGGAATGGTGCCACTGGCAGGGGCAGACAGGAAAAATAGGAATGCTCTTAATGTCTTCCCTAAGAAAACCTTTGTTGGACAAAAGAGTGCTTGTATTTTTACCCTCTCTCTTCATGCTGCCAGGCGTCTTTAAATAGATCCTCTAGTCTAGGGACTTGTATGGAATAATTCATATTAAATCTCAAGATGTGGCAAAAGAGAGAAGTTGGTTCTTTCTTCTCTTTCTTTCCTTCCTTTCTTTTCCCTTATTATCAAGCTAATAGGGGAAAACTCATTTTAATTCAGCTCTGTTAAATTTTTTCTTTTGAGCCTTTTAATGAACTTTAGCTAATTCGGAAAAGACTACCAAAGCCCCCAGGAAAAGAAAGGAATAGGAAGCTGCATTGTAGATTGTTCCTTAATACCTTTTGGTCTCCAGGACATGAACAGCATCTTTTAAAGATGCTGCACAGAGGGGGTTACATGAGGCTTTTAAATGGGAATGTCTAATTGAGAAGTCCAGTTCCTTCCATTTACAAAGCAGAAAGCAATTTCTTGTTCTGCTATTAGGAGAAAAAATAAAAAAGCCTCCCTACTCTCCCCAGTTCCATGAATTTTTTGTTTGCCTCAACTCGAGATTCATTTCTCCCCTCTCCCTTTCTCCACATGGGTTTCATAAAGACGTTCAGGCCCATGAAAGTCAAATTAAAAGTCCATTCTCTCCTCCTTTATGCTTGAGAAGGGAAGGATATGGGAAGGATGGAGGAGAGGGGTGGGGCAGAATCCAGGGAGCTTTGTTTCAAGTCACTTGTTTTTCTCCCGATACAGAATAGCACATTTCTCTTAATGTAGGCTGAAGTGCAGTCAGGCGTTCCCATAACGCTCCCTGGGCCCAACCCTTAGCCTTTGCCGGAGATGTGCAGATCACTGTGATGGTATGCTTCTCCCTGCCAACCCGAGTCACTGCAGTCCAGTTCTCTGCAGCCTAAAGGGCAGCTGAGCTATGAAGCTGCTGTTTTCTGTAAGTGGGTTCAGGCTCAGTGCTCCAAAAGCCCCCCAACCGCAACAGTCCAGCAAAACTTCTGCCAAGAATGACATGCTGGGAATACTATGGAGATGGGGAGACTTCACGGGCTGTTGTCTGCGGACAGAACAAGACCCGGGCTGCCCAAAACAGGCAGAGCAAAGAACAAGCTCACAATGGAAGGAGCTCAGGCGAAGGGAAAAGGGGCGGAGTGGGAGTGGTAGGGAGCAAAAGCAAAGAAAAGCCACATGCCACCCAGGAAGACTCCAGGGAAGGCAAAGGAGGTAGTGGAGGAAGCACTTGCAGGAAACAAGTACCCAGACATGGCACTGCCAGTCTAGCTGGATTCTTTTCTGAATTAGATTATCTGAAAGAAAGAAGAGAAATATATAGCCTGCCAGCTGTTCAAAGGCTTACAACCTTGCTTTTATTGTCTGGGTAAGTTGGTGAGGTGGGGCATCAGAGAAATTCCAAACATACCATCTCAGAGAAATTTTAATATGTTCTACAGTGTCATACATGAAGAGGAAATGACAGCTGATCACAGCTAGGGCAAGCCATAGCAATCTGGGGCCTGGAGCTCACCAACGCTCCGAGGTGCCTACTTCTGCCTTGGCTTGAGTGCTTCTCTGTGCTTCCACCTGCCTCTCCATCCTTTCCGCTCCCACTGGCACAGCTTGGGACCCTGAACAAAGTAGCAGTAATTGGCTATTATGGGAAGAGTTGGGAATGGACTCAAAGGTCACTAGAAAATAAGCTAAAGGTCTTCTAGGGTGAGTCAGGCACCCCAGGGAGTCAGAGGTTTTTTAATCCAATTGCCACTGGATTATCTATTGGTAAAGGCCAAGTGAAGGACCATGATGATGCTGTGTTCAAGTTTTCTCCCCAGTAACCTACCAATCTGAGAAAAATATGAGACTGGATTATTTGAAAACAGTACTGTGCATGGCTTTCATGGTTTGAGGAACAGCTTCCTGTAAATTCTTTCCAGGGTCCTCATAACTTCAGGCCTGGTCCAAAAGTCATTAGTTTTTATCTGGGGGATGGAGCAAGTATACAGTGGGAGACAGTGACTGTATTTTTCTTTGTGCACATTTCTAATTCAGTGATTTATCAATTCAAGTGCACCTGATGTTACTTGCTGAATAAATGACTCATTACTATCCCAGATAGAGACATCACATGGCCCTTCCTAAAGGAGTAGAGAAAAGACAATTGTTCCTTTCTAGGCTTCTATTCATGTGGAAAAGATCAGATTGTTTTAGTTTGGGACAATGAGTACCTAGGCTCCGGTGATAAAAATCTAAGAGGAACTCCTTAATCAAAAATGAAAGAAAATTTGTTTATCAGTGACAGCCATTTTCAAGAAATCTGGATATCAGCAAATATTTTAAATGGTTCTTTATAACAAAGAAGTCATTGACCATTTTAGCCTTTGGCAAAGTTAATTTTAGTTCCAAAATCTAACAGGAGATAGAACAGAGAACACTATAAGGCATGGGACAGCATTTCATTTATCTTGCACCCACCAGAACAAGCATAATTCATGGCAAGAATAAGGGGATGAATAATAAAGCAATATGAAAAATAGCAGTTGAATTGTGAGTTTTTACAATATGGTGAAATTGGTGGTTGTCACTGGTGGTTGTAATTCCAAGAAATTTGGCACATTCTTCAAGGGTCAAGGGAAATAAATGAGTTGGAAATTGTTAAATGTATTGAAAAATGATAGTGTAATTGTTACTGAATTAAAACTGAAAACTCCACAAGCATACTTCCATCTGTTGGTGTCAGCTGCTTGGTACACAATCATAATCATACACAAGGCTTCAGCCACTTCTCCCTTTACCTAAACCCGGTGCTGTTTTAAAAGATGATAGAAACCATTGCATTTTGATTCAGATGCCTCTCATCATGGTAATCTGAATATTAGCTTAAGAAAATTGCTTTGATTTAGGTAAATGTTTTTAACAGGAGGTGTTTTAAATCACGTTATATTCTTTAGCAATTAAATTCATAATAGTTTTTCAGACTTTCTTAAATAATTAATATTCCAAAGTTATAAATTAACTTATTCAAAAGCCAGAGTTTTCAATCAACATTGTTTGTTAGTCTAGTTATCCAGAAAAATCAGAAACTTTCACCCATAAACCATAGCCCTACTCCACAATGAAACCGGGCAAAAAAAACCCTAAAGTTTACTTTGCAGAATTAGAGAGAAGAAAATGGACATGTTGTTACAATTGTTGTAACACAATTGAGTAGCATTCTGTAGTCCCTACTGTTCTTGCTTGACACCCACAACAAACACTGCATTTTAGGTGCGTCTATGTTTTCAAATGTACCTGTAATTAATATTATGTATTTAATAAACTTTGCCAGAGCTGGCTCCTTATAATTAAAGTACACTAATATTAGAAATGAAAAGAGATATAATTGCAATATTCATAGTTATTAATAACAGTTACCAAAAAACTAGGATGCGGGACTCCTTTCTTGTGAAATAACGTCCTTTCTTGCACTTGAATTTCAGTAGAGAAAAGAGTCAATCTCTCAAATACAGGTTTATCTATGTTCTTCCATTATTACAATGAGCCTCAGTTACAGGGCGTTCTGAGTCATTAGCATTCTGTACACAATCAAATTTCCCGTCGCCCAAGCAAGAGTTATGCCCAGGCCTCCTACAGTCTAATTGTTCATTCAAAGAGAGAATTTGTATTCAGGAGTTAGAAAGAACCATCTGAATATTCCTCAGGTGTTTGTAGGAGTCAAGCTTAAAGATCCTGGTCCCTGTGCTGCTGGGAGCATCCTTTCCTGGTCACCTCTTGGACATTGTAGCATCAGTTGTGCAGCACAGACAAGCGGACTACTAAAAATAACTTTGCAATAAGGCCAAAGCAAACAGCATGCATTTCCTTGGACTTTCTGCCCAATCAAAATAACATAGTAAACCCATCCTCCTCTTCCAAAGTGCTCCTGACCGCATTTATGGCAGCAAGTCATTGCACAGTGGGAAGACGGGTGCAAAGGAACTGGATCTCTGCAAAGCATGGTACAGAAAGCTAGAAATAAATGTTGCCTATTGTTTGGAGTCATTCTAAACCCTCCGGCAGAACCCTGGCAGGAGATCAGCAGCATACAGAAGCAGTAATAAAAGTAAACAGTGCACTTTTAAACTTGCAGGCTTGCCCGCGTTAATAGTGCCCCCATTGTCAGTGGGATGAGAGCGGTGAGGAAGATACTGGGGCTGCAGGAATCCATGCCCGCAAGTTGCTGCTTCTCAGTCTCCTCTCGCAGGATCAAATAGAATAATAATTACAAAGTTACATCTAACTACGCAGAAAGTTTGAAAATAAAATCTCTGAAGTCAAACTAAAAGAGATTTCCCAGCCTCTCTGTGAGTCTCCTCTGCTCGCTCTGTCACCGACTTCAAAGACCCGTTCATTTAAAAAGAAAAAAAAACCCACAATGCTAGCATGCTACAGATTAATGCAAATTAAATTAATGCAAATTTAAGTGGTATTTAAAGGTTGTCTCTTTGTCTGAGAGGAGGATGAAATGCTCTGTTTGGAAAGAAGAAATTTCCTAGACAAGCCGTCAGCGCTTGTTTTCCTGCTTACCTTGGGGGAAACGCAGGGCTCCTTTCTTCTCAGACTTTTCTGAGAGCTAGAAAGAGGTCCTGTTACTTCCAAATGCTTTTGTTCTTCTGTCCCTCTGTCACATGGCTTGCCTTTTATATTTGCAACACACAAAAGTTAGGACTGTTGTTTAAGCGACACAGGGAGAGAGAGAGAGAGAGAGAGAGAGAGAGAGAGAGAGAGAGAGAGAGAGAGAGAGAGAGAGAGAGAATGTCAAATGGAAAAGTGCCATTGCAGTCATATATCAATCAGGCGTGCGGCCGCAGCAGCGCACTAGCAAATGGGAATGCCATGGAAATGTGAGGCGCTCCTTATCAGGGACTCAGCCGCTGCGCACCGCTCGGCTCCCTTCCACAGAGCATCTTAACGATGGGAACTACATAGAAGAACAACGACAAACTTTCCTTTCCCTTTTTCTCTTGTTCTCTTTTTGGCATTATGGAAATAATATGGGTCTTAATGAATATTCTGGATTTCCATTTGCACACATGTGGCTGCCACAGAGATATGCAGCTCCCAGTAAAGACACATCAATTTGGAAATGCAAAGACCAAGTAGCATTCTGTTTAAGCATTTTGGCAGCTGACTGGGATGAAGTTGAAATTTTAAAGTAAGAGAGAGAACGATGGGAAACAGAACTACTTCTCCAGTGATGCTGTTAAAGCAAGTGCAAAACTCTGCCCTATTTTATCACCATGTGTGTGGGTGGTGAGAGTTCTCCTTTTCTGGGTTTTTCTACCATTAAATGATTTTTAGCAGCGTATACATGATTAAATCCACAATGGCACTTTAATAAGCATTTTCGTTGGCATCATTTAGAATAAAATTTCAGATCTGATTTAGAAACAAGGAGAACATGTAGTCCATGACTCCTTGAGATAAGTGAGTGTGAGACTAACAGGTAAGACCAATCCACCTCATTATAACCAGGAAGAAAATGGCAAAAGCAAATTATGTGTGTGGGCTAAGTGTCTGTTAGCTGGATAACACTGTTGTGAGCTGTGAGAATACAAAGGGAAACTTTTCATAATTCTTGCCCTTAAGAAATTTAAAATTAAGACAGAAAATCATTGGCAATTTTAATGGAAAATACAAAGAAACATTGAACCACTGTAATTATTTTAATGTCAGATGGATCCAATCCCTAGTATTTTTTATTAACAATGATTAAAACTTAACTGAGAGCATAAAAATGTTATTTCACAGAAGAACTATATCATAAAACCTAAGAAGAAATTTATTTGAGGAGCTTTGCGTAATTGTTGATGCTGAAACTATCATGTTCAATGGTATAACATCATTGTAATTAATTAATAATCACATAATTTTTCCATAAAACCTTTGCTGCAGTCACTGATATTGAATGAAATGTCTTTAAAATGTTCAGTTTTACTATGAAGTGGCATTTCTTTCATTCTTTCTTTCTTTTTTGTTTGTTTTTGGACCATTCCTAGTGGTACTTAGGGCTTGCTCCTAGCACTGTACTCAGGGATCACCACTTGGCAGACTCAGGGAGAGCTAGAGATCGAACCCAAATTTGCTACATGCAAGGCAAGTGCCATCCCTGCTATGCTATCTCTCTGTTCACATTTCTTTTATGCTATCATGAAAGCCCTACCTGAGAGCAAGTATGTCACAGAGTACCTGAAAGGATAGAGTACAAATGACAAGTTTATAACCCTGTATTAACTGGCACTTGACTGATGATGGTAAAGGTTAACTGTCTTAAATTCAGAATGCAAATGGAAATTGGGCCTCAAAATCGGAAATAATCTGAAAGGGGAAATGACTTGTAGATGAGTAAGAGCTATGGAAATAGTCATGAACACATTTTCTGGCTCAATTTTGTGGGTCAAACTGGGAGGTTAATGTTTTGACCACCAACATGTACAAAGATCCTATCTTGATGTCCATTTACCTTTTCTTGTCTCCTAAGAAATAATTTGCAGCGTTCTCAACCTATGTTCATCACTCCACCCTGCTTTGGATTCACAGAGTCCCTCTAGCTGGTCTGAAGTAACATGAAAGGTGGAGTTCTTCCTGGATGGAATTTTCCAGCCTTCTACAATCTGCTCTTCTGAAAGAGCACCACAGAAAGTGCAGAGATTGCAAACACATTGGCTCCTTGGCCACAGTAGACAGATGTATGTCTCTCCCAGATGGAGCCCACAGCTTTGTCCAGCCATTATTCTGTCAGAAATGGCAAAGAACACCATCTGCTGCCTCTTTCAAAAGGGTGTCGTTGACTCCACCTATTTGGCTCCAGAAGACCCATTTCTGAGCCTAGCAATAGGTATCTGGCAACAGTAACATTTTCACAACTTCACCCTGCTCTTTAGAAAGGTCACAGTGCCATATGTGGTTACTTTACTGGCCATCATTCACATTGCTGAGAAAGAAGGGCCCCTGTTAAATTTCTATCTAAGTGGAAAGGTTTGAAAATACTGTTATTTCATAGGCATTCCCGGTGGGAAGAGTTTGGAGGTGATGTCTACCAGCTGGATGGGAAAGCAATCATTCAAAGGCTCATTTCAAAACCTTTGATTTCTAATGTTGTTTCAGATTTCCCCTCTCTTTCTTGGTAGCTGTAGTGGATATTCATTAAGTGCAAATATCTTTGGAAATATGGGTAATCCCAAAGCAGGTAGGAAGCAAGTCCTCCCTGCTTCCTCAGTGCAAGACTTGAAGGGAACAAGTGTTTCCTTTGTCCTCCTCAAGAAAGCTGGAAATCTAGGTATGACCAAGTACGGGTCACCAGATGTGCCATTCTTAAAGGAAGGACAAGTTATGCAGATATTCACAAGTTATACCTTTATGGTTTCTCTGTAATAAGCAGTTTGGAGACTACTACAGTAAGAGTAGGGGGTGACAAAGCCCAGCCATGTGAACTGCCCCCCAATCACCAGACCCACCAAGATCCTGCTAGTAAATTTATTTCTGATTTAATTAACTAGAGACTGCTTTTGAGGTTAGCAACCAGGAATCCTAATCTGAACATTAAATTTTCCAAATTTAGTCAAACTAACATCATTACCATACAAATGAAAATGTAGCTTCTCCTTCCTTCTAGCTATTTTCCCAAGCAAATGATTTCAGATTCACTACCAGTCTGCTAGCTGGCACTCCATATTGTTCCCCGAGTCCCACCAGGAGTGATCCCTGATCACAGAGCCAGGAATAAACCCTGAAGACAACTGGGTGTGGCCCAAATAAACAAAATAAAACAACCACTGAAAGTCAATAACATAGATACAAATGGTGTATGTGTCTATAAAATCCCAACATACTAGCAGAGTCTAAGTATAGTCTAACAGGTTTATAATCATCTATTATGATAGTAATTTTTGCCATCCTAATGAATGTGAATTTATTTATTAAAAACTATTGATAATAATAGCAATTTAATGAATCTTTACTCTGCTGGGCTCTGGGCCAGATTTTTATATTTACTGTCTCTTTTAGAGACACAAAACACTAGGAGTAGATTTTAATTTTATTAATGGAAAAGCTAAGACTCAGAGAGGTTAGGTGACTCCACTATGGTTAAAACAGCAAGCAAAAGGTAGATATGAGTTCTGATTTTTCTATCATCAAAATCTTGTGACTTAGCTATTATTAATGCTGTCACCAACAGAAATTAATTTAGTAGCCCCTTTATAGTAATAGTCTGTATTTGTATATGATAAAAATAAAAGTAGGACATGTATCAAATTCTTAAGATGGCCACCACATTGAAGTCAATAGAGAAATGTTGATTTACACAGGTACTGTAAAACAGATGTTACCAGAGGCTTAATAAAAAAAAGATATGATAAGATTAGGGACGTTTATACAGGAGAACTTTCCTGGGCTTTGAATGCACAAAGTATGTACCAGAGGACAAAGGTGAGTCTATGGAGTGACACATAGATATTTGACTGGTTCTAAACCTGTGCAGTGGTCTGCCAGGAGGATAAGGTGAATAGCAGAGAAAACATACCAGGAACAAGGGTCTGGTGGGGTTAAAGGAGAGAGAGACAGAATGAAAAGGCAGTCAGACAAAGGCAAGGTTATGTAAGTAGAAGAAGCCTGAGGCAGAAGAAGCACAGCAGTGATACAGATAGAAACTTTCATTCATCCATATGTTGATTAAACAGGTATTTCACAGTCAGATGTTGTTCTCATCCCAACAATGGGTAAGGTAGATACAGTTTCTCTAGTAATGACTGAATAAGTCAGTAAAGACACTTTGGGGGCCAAAGAAATAATATAGGAGGCAAGGCACTTCCTTTCATGCAGGTGACCCAGATTGAATCCCCAGCACCACTTTTAGGCCCCCAAGCACTACCAGGGGTTACTTCTGAGCAGAGAGCCAGGAATAACCCCTGAGTATTTCCAGGCATTCCCTGCCCCAAGACACTATTAAGGCAAATAGCCAAAATCTTAATATCAGTTGCATCAAACACAAGTTGTATAATCTTCAGTCAATAAGTAGATTAGAGTAGGGTTGGCACATTACCTGTGGTATTACCAAAAAACCCAGGATCTTCCCACTTCATCAAACATGGGTATGTATATATAATACATTGTTTACATGGATACTCCTCTGGAAGGTGATGGATCAAAGATGGCAATTGAAACTCTAAAAAGCAAATTTAACTTTTCAAAAAGCATATCTAAATATTGAAGGAAAGAAGAGTTTGTTTTTTTGATATGTCGATCAAAAGAAAAATCTTTCCAGAAATCCTAAGGGCTTCCTATATCCCATTGACAAGGGAATAGCAACCATCATAGTCCATATCCAAGGAACTGACTATATGGCAAACTAAACATCATCAGATTCTTAGTCGTGAAAGAGGATGAATTATAGTTGGATAGCTAGCAAGTAGTATCTGCCACAATAATAAAAGCAAATTATACAGGAAGAAGAGTGAGTTAAATGGAATTGGTCTTTCTGTGGAGCTAACATTTTCATTTAAATGCTAAGAGTGAATATCATACATAAATATGTCAAGGTAGTTAGAACAGTGAAAAAGACAAGATATGATCAGAAGTGAAACAGGAAGCATATGTACGGGCACAAAATTTTTATTATCCTATGTACAACTTTGGGAGTTTTGTTAACAGTTGAATTGTGTCCCTACTAACAAAAGACTTGCTAAAGGTATTTCTAGTCTCTAGTAATACAGAATGTAACCTTATTTGGAATTAAGGTTATTAAACTGAAACAAGGTCATTAGAGTGGGCCCTAATACCATGTGATTCACATCTTTAATCAAAATTGGGAAATTTAAACACCAAGATAGGGAGCACAGGAAGAATTGCAAAAAAGATAT